TGTTCCATCGCTCAAAACCTGCCTTCGTTGCCACGCTGCAGTCATTGCACCTACTGGTGCATCAATCGATGCATAGATTGGTACAACAGTCGTTGCGTTCAATCCTACAACAATTAGTGCATGAGTGCATGCACCGACTGGTGCACCATTTCACGCACTGATTGGTGTGCTAAGCTTGACCCTAAAATGTCAAATCCTGGTGACTGAAAGTCATTGCGATTGGACATGGCCAACTTATGTTGAAACTCGCTTGCATTCAGCTATTTGCCAAGGCCTCAAATACTATTTCTATTTGGCCCTAGCATATTAAACAATTATGTGTAGTGTGTCACAAATATCAAAGAACGTCTGGGTAGTCTAGCCGACCGCTCGATGCAGCGCCGTTGGGTTAATCAGAGGACCGCGCGTGCGCTAGAGGTGGCCACTCAAAGATGCCATCCGGTCCGTTAAGTCCGGTTCGTTAATTTTCATCAGCTGTCCGTTAAATTCCGTTAAAGAAAAAGGGAGAAAAATTCAGAAAAAACGAAAAAATCCAAAAAAATCGAAAACCCCCTCAAAAAATCATAACAACTGCGGCTAGTTGAAAATCTAGTATGCATAGGTTGAAATAAAATACAAACATACTCTCTAACAGCGAATTCCATAAACTATAAGTATGAATAAAACCCAAAAAACCCCAAAAAATCCAAAAATCCGTTAATTTTTGGTTAGTTTTTGTCTTTTTTCGTTATTTTCCGTTAATTAACGGAAAATTAACGGAAATTAACCTCTGTCCGCTACTAACGGATCCGGGTGGCCACCTCTAGCGTGCGCAACGCGCGCGGATACCCGGCCTTGTATCAACCAAATAATAATCACTGCAATAATGTTCACTTCCTTGTCCCCATTGTCCCCAATCGCCGTTATCACCCTAGTCAAGGGCGAGGTAGATATTGTGTTGCGGGTGCTAGAGATGGCGGAGGACTCATCACGGTATGCAACTTTCATCGTGTAACCTACATGTGCCAAGGAGCCGTAAAAATGTAAAAATATCTGTGAAAATATGCCCTTCTGCAAATTTGCTACTTTACGTGTAAAAACGTAAAAGTAAAAATATAAATTTAAACGTAAAAACCAAGCATGCTCGCCATTCAACACCGTTGAATTTTGTGGTGGACTGCGTTGGCGTGAGCACGTACCCTTGCAACTGCGCTATGAGTTGCGCCCACAATCTCGCGGGAAGCCCACGGGGTGCCGACACGCGGGGCACTGACTGATTAGCGCCTTTTCCGGTGTCGCCGACGAAGTGTCGCCCCGCGCGCTGGGCACTAGGACCTAACCCGGGGGCGATGGTGATGAGATTCCGCCGAGTTGGTGATTGGATTAATACCATGCCGCTCACACCCCCGTATTCTGGCCGTATGCGGCTCTCCGCGCTGACGCATTATCACCAGCGACAGGCGGCCCCGCGCCAACTGTCACACACCCGCCAAAAAGCTGGCCGCACCAGGGAGGACAGACTTGGGGGTCCCCCTTGAGCTCGCGCCCCTCGACCGGCCCCACCCGCCTTGCCGCCGCGAGAGCAGGCCTCCGGCGCGATCCGCGTCATTCGCCTGGCGCCATCTTTTCACCTCGACGCGGCGTGAGGAGCCCGAGGAGCGGGGAGGCATCGACCCGCCATGGGGGCGGGCAGGAAGACCAGGACCGTGCAGGTGGACACCAGCCAGGACCCCTTGGACGTCCGGTCCATCCCGCCGAGCTTCAAGGAGCAACAGCGCAAACTGGGGGCCCGGCTCGCGGGGGCTGTCTTCGGCTGCACGCTGGAGACGATGCAGGAATGCGTGGACGGCGGCGTGTTCGGCCTGCCTTACAACCACATCGTCTACGTGGCAACCATACGGCCCGGCATGCCGCTGTACCTGTTCAACTACAGCCGTCGGCAGATGCATGGCGTGTTCGTGGCGGAGTCGGATGGCCAGCTGGACATCAACCCGCACGGGTGGACAGGGGGCAGGGAGGGCGCGCGGACGGCCTACCCGGCGCAGGTGAGGGCGCGGCTGTTCAAGGCCTGCGCGCCGCTGCCGGAGAAGGTGTTCAAGCCGGCCATAGCGGGGTGTTACAGGGACAACACGCACTTCATGTTCGAGCTGGACAGGGGCCAGGTCAAGGAGCTGTGCAAGCTCTTCGGCTGCGAGGTCCCCTCGAAGAGGGCGTTGGGGGATGACTGCGGGGAGCGTCCGCTGCCGGCCGCCAACAAGGGCCTTGGAGGGCTGTCCGGCGAGGGCAAGGCAAAGGGATTGGGGAAGGAGGCGACGGTGGAGAATCCAGCTCCAGGTGCTGGGTCCATGGGCTCATTGGAGGATTTCCCCACCTTGGGCTCGTCGCAGGCTTTGCGGAAGGATGGGAAGAAAAAAGCAAAGGCAGAGGCCGGTAAGAGGCGAGTGCATCAACTGGCTCCAACAAATGGCGGCGTCCAGTCGTCAGCAGGCTTGCCGCCCACCGCATGGAAGCCTAAGCAGCCATCACCGGCTACCAAAGAGGAGCTCACGTTGAAGCATGACTTCCCGATACTGACCAGTAAGTCGGGCCATCACAACGATGGCACCAAAGGGAAGAGTGTGGGCGAGGCGAAGGACAGTTCGGCGACCTCATGCCTGGCTAGTTCTGGAGGCAGCTTGGGGAAAAGCGCTGGGAGGAAACCACATGCAAAAGCGATGCAGAAGCATGGCAAGGATGGAACAAAGGATGCTGGTGTGTTTGTAACTAGGACCTTGACAAGGGACAAGGAATGGTCGGCGGTGGCTGAAACACCGAAGCCACAGGTGAAGATTGTGAAAGTGGCCGGTTGTGGAGGACAAGCTGAGTCGGTGTGGGCTAAGCAGCAGCCCGAGGCTGCAGAATCGACAAGTACAAGTGTACCAAAACTCGATGAAAGCACATGCGCCAAGGAAGGACAAGGAATATCCAACAAAGCAGGTTGCCTTTTGGCGGGCCATGTAGAGAAGCCGCCCTCTGAACAGTATATGTCAAGTGCTTCTGTCAAGCAGAGTTGCAAAGAAGACGTTTCTCACTTACTATCACAGCCAACAAACTCTGGGGCCCATAGACTGTTGGGCATGTTTGGTGCTAGCAGGGATGCGGCAGAGGTCAGCACCAGTGTTGATGGCGAGGGAGTCAGCGGCCAAGAGGACGTGAAAGATGCTCTGGCTCCCAAGACTGCTGTCAATGATTGTGGTGAGTTTTGGTCCACTCAGAAAGTTGGGTCCTACAACCCTGTGTTGATGGTAAAACAAACTCCAAGGGAAGAACTTTACATAATTGGCGGGCTAGATGGGACCTCCCACTCAGACCAGATTGATGTGTACGATCCAAGCACCAAGCAATGGAGCCAAGGCCCCAAACTGCCGATGGACGACTTCATATTCGGGAGTGCCGCTGCCATTGGCAGCTCTGTTTTCTTGTTTGGTGGCGGTGCAGCTCATGCTGTCAAGGACGTGGCCTGGTGCCTGGACACACGGTCAAGAAAATGGAAGAAAGTCTCCCCTCTGCTGCAGCCACGATCCTCGTTAGGATCGACCACAATAGGAGGAAAAATCTATGCAGTTGGGGGTGGGCTTCCTGGCAAGGAAATGAACTCAGTTGAGGTCTATGACCCTGGCAGCGATCGATGGTATGATGGACCATTCCTGAATGCCAGGAGGTTCGGTGTCGGTGTGACCAGTGCAGATGGGGTGATATATGCTGCTGGTGGCTTTGATGGTGAGAGATATTTGAAATCCGCTGAAATGTGGGATCCAAGGCAGGGGTACTGGTCGCGGATGCCTGACATGACATCTGTCAGGGGTTGCTTGGCTTGCACTGCAGCACACGGCTGGGTGTGGGCGATTGCAGGTTTCGATGCCATGGCCATGACAGATACTGTAGAGATCTACGATCCTACGGGGCAGCGATGGCATGACATGCCAAAACTGAGTGCCACTAGGGGATACTGCACTGCAGAGTTCTTGAATAACTGTGTTCATGCTATTGGAGGGCGCACATGCCATGAGAAATGGGTGCTGGCCCCTATGCAAAAGTACAACTGTGAGGAAAGCCTATGGCAAGAGGAGTTGCCAGCAGGGACCACTGGGGTCAGAGGGTACCATGCATCCTGTGTTGTTACACTGTGCTCATAGATGTGCTTGAAAGATGATTGCAGCAGTCTCCTGCCAGCCGAGTGAACCATAGATTCTAGGGCACTATTTTGCTTTCAGACTTTAGGAAGGCATTGTTAATACAACGACTTTGGTACAGGATGGAAAGGCATACTCTATATGGACAATTGCATGCATTGGATTTGTGGAGATGGTGCTGCATTGGTGGCTGTGATTCGACTTTGATGACATCGGTGGCTGTCTGGCTTTGACTATTCCGTTGGAAAATATTATGTGTGCTTCAGTGAGCAGCAAAGGTCATGGCCAAGTGTTTTGAAACTCAACATGAAATGCACAGCAGATTTGTGCCCCGACATCGATACTCAGACATTGCCGTCACAGATTTGTTTGCTAATTGTATAGATGTTGACCTGAACACCAGAAATTGCAGGGGTAGGGTAGGGTAGGGTCAGAGTGCGTTTCTGTGTCAGAGCGATTGCGATGATGGCCTGAACGTTGGTCAGAAACCTGAACTTTGAGGGATGAGGGCAGTGGGTGGCCCGTGATTCCGATGTACAAGACCCATCAAGACACTGCTGGAGTTGAGCTGGTTCTTCAGATCTGATCAAGTATGCCAAATGCATGGACCTGTCGGCAGGCTGTTCTATGCCCCTAAAAGATGCTTGACTCTCTTGACGCTTGGTTGCTGTGTAAATATTCCTAACAGAGCTGGCGATCTAGAGCAATGGCTTCCACGGGAGGAGTTGCGGTTCCAGGTCTGCCTGCGGCGTTCACAAAGTGGGCGAGCATGTCTTTACCTGAGCTCATGGAAGCGAGGAACATGCACACCCAGCACATAGTGTTACCCACCCATGTGGCCTTTCTAGTTCATGCTTGACTGGTGCTGAACTCTAATCCAGGGTTCGCCCTGCTGAGTTGTGCATCGAAACATGGAAGGAGAATAGCTGCAATGGGGCATGCCACGGTTGCCCTCGATGCCATGGCACAGCAGGTGTCTCCTACAAACATGCTGGCGCTCTGATTGTTTCTCGGCAGTTGCCTAATCCGCCTGCAAAATTGGATGTTGTCCCACTGACAATCTTCCAAACGCCACTGGAATGCATGTTGTGCAAAACAATGAATCCCTCCAACCAACTGTGTGGATGTGACACCCGATTCCATCAAACACCTGCCTGAAAGCGGAAACCGTACCAGCATCCGCATGCTAGGTCATGTAGCCCGGGCGGGTGAAGACTGACAAGACTATGTCCACACGTAGTGTTTTGCTACTTGCATTCATCAAGGTGCCTGTTGCCATCGTAGCAACCGTTGCTCTTTGAAGTGGCAGCGCCAGCCTTTGCGGATCCGCCATGGGATCGCCGTTCATCGTTGATTTCCATTCTTGCTTCCTTTGGTGGGACATCGCTGGTGTGGGCGATATTGGCCACAGCGAACATACCACAGGCATCAATCGCCCTCTCCAGGGACCACGCCGTGAGCCCAAATGCCATAGATGCATGTGTATTCAGGGTTTCCTTCATTCGTCAGTATCTGAAGCCAGGCAATTTTGCTCACCAACATTGACTGACCAAAAATATCAGAATGCAGTCCAGTTGAATTCTATTCAGAGGATTTTGCACATGAACAATGACTCCACGTGGCCAACATACCCACTAGTGCTGTGAGCGGAGTCGGTCTTAGTGAACGCCCTGTAATTAAGGAAAAAATAATAATAATGGCATACCTGCTAGTCCATTGTCAGCTCATTCTCGTGTCCATCCATAACAATGTATAAAGGTTCGGTGCCGCTGGTGCAGTTGGTGTTTTGTTAACGAATTCCCGACATGCACATTGGTGGCAGGCTTATTTGTCAGAACTGGGATTGGGCCACAAAGGACTGGTGCATCATGCTGGAACGCAAGAAAACAGTGTTTTGGGGTGGCCACCGGTGCAATGAGCAGAGAAACAAAGTGTTGAGCTCATGCCATGTCCACAGCACACAGCCAAATCTGTCAGGATAGCATGGACTGATGTTGGGGCCAGCACTCCTGGCGTGTGCATCAACGGGTGAAGCAATTACACAGACGATCCAGTTTAGTTCGCGGTGCACATTGGGTCACTGACTGGCCAGGCATCCTCACCTGCATCTGAACATGATCGACAACCGGCTCGGCGGTGATGGCAAACGACTTCATCTGGTAGCCTTCCAGGGAAGAGGCGGTGGTGAAGTTTCCAAAGTTCACCATCGCCGATTCCATCCGTTTATCTCCAGACTTCAGGAAGCCGTGCATGGAGACGTCCCGTGGTGCGGTGCCATTGCTGAGAGCTATGGAGGAGGGAATGCGCTGCAGGGCGATAGCCGTCACACGGATGGGCTGGCGTAATTTGATGGTGACAAAGCCGGACGAACCGTTCAGGGGGAGGCACTGGCCGGGAACGGCGTGCCGTGCGAGTAGAAACTGCAGGAGAAGGCGCATGTCAGCTTCAATGACATTGCCACAGTCATATCTCCGCAGAGGCTGCACCACTGGTGCCCATTGGCAGGGACAGTCATCTAACATGAGCCCCACCTCCCCCCCTTGGAAATGGATTTTCCTGCCTTTAAAATTGATCGCACGTACACTTATTTACAATTATGTTGGAAATGGATTTTCTTTAGTGCGACTGGGAAATCCGCCCCCAATGGTATGACCTACAGGTGCAAATAATCATTCTTGCCAAACCTAATTATTCTCTAGGTCACATATTAACTTGGAAGGGTGTGAAAGCCGCCTTCCCTTTCAGGAATGAGTTGTTTGTCGCCGCACCAATCCCAACAACACAATGCGCATTGTCAAATCCTCAGAATTAAACCACATTTCCAACGGACTTCGAGAACACCCAAATACTACAGTAATATTTGTCGAAGAGAAATTCGTGGCCCCGCTATGCATCTTGGAATTCCAGGCTGGGAGTTCATAGCGCCCAACAATGGCGTTTAATCGACAGTGCACAGGAGAAATATGGAAGTGCGGTGATGTCATTAAGCTGTTTTCTATTTTTCTAAGACAGCGACATAATTTATGCCAAAATTTATGCTGTCGGTATCAAAACTTACATACAGTTGAAGACCGCCGAAATGCACATTAGATTCTGCAAACACGCATTGTGGCGACCCAGCACTTGGCTGCAAGGCTGAAATTTCAACAAACAGAATTGATTGCCCTGTTTGAAAACCTGCGGCATGCATGTATGCATCCCATGAGCAGATTCGCCCTGTGGAAGAGACCTCGCTTTCCGTTAGTCCAGCTGTTGCGAAGCCTTGGATCCCACATGCACATTTCACCGCTTGCCTGGTCAGCGCGAGGATGGACAAATATGCCGTGAAGTGCTTCCTTGACGAAGGGCATCGCTCCAAGCAGGCAAAGGGGGTGAGCTCTGTTTCCATGGCACCAACCGCCGTCCGCCAGACGAGAGTGAGCGACAACCTTCCCACCCCCAGCAGCCGAGGAAAAATCTGGAGAGTCCTGTTCAAGGGGATTACCATTCATTGAGAGTGATGGAACCGCAGAAGCTGTCTTCATCGTGAAGAACGCAAAAGCCTCCGAAACTTGGCTTCAATGTTGCTGACGATGCTTACTTCATTATGCGCGTCTGTAGTTTTAGGATGCTGACATCACTTTAAATAGGGCTGATCTGCATTGTCGGGAACTACCTGGACATAAGTGGATTGGTTTCATCTAGAAGAATTACCAATCATTTAAAAGTTACCGACCCGGCGTTGTCTACATGCACAGCTGCGGCAATGGTATATTGCTGCCAAATGTACTTCGATTTTAGAATTATATCTACTGCATTGCGGATCTGCAGCTGCGGAACCGATCTCACATCTTGCTTTTCACAGCATCCTCCAATGTCAATCACCTCAGATTCTTTCGACAGGCAATAGGTTGTGAAGCGATGACTCAGGACCAGGTTCGGCTGTTTCCCATCCGGAAATTAGGATGGAGTTGTAACATTGGCGGTCATTGGAGTTGTAACTTTGGCGGTCATTGCTTCAACCAGTTCTGTGATGTGCAGCCCGTCAATGTTGCTGCAATTCCCATCCACCAAAGCCTTACAAATGAGAATGGCAGTAATCCTGGTGAACTTGGCCGTTGATAGGGTGTTGGAGTTCATGCTCCATTAGAGTCAATAATATTAGTGGCAAAAGAAGTCGATGGCATGCCGATCCGCGAGGCGTGCACCAGCATCGGCAGCAAGCACATTAGCAAACTTGTTGCAGAATGATCCATCAACGTTGCAGTAACTCCATCCCTATTTCCGGATGCCGACTACCTTATCACAGTTAACAGGTTGCTCTGGCGCCTCCATCTTGAAGTACTGCGTACATGAGGATCGTATGCATATTTGTGCATGTTCCGCAACCTCATTCCAACGTTCTCGACAGCTGCCTTAGGATTAGTTGGATGTGATTCAGATACCCTATTGAGCTCCCCGCGCCTCCATCCAATTGAACGCAAGGATGTGGCGTGAATTGGATTTGCTATTATAGATGCAATTGCAAAACACAAAACATATATACTAAAGGCATGAATCGGTTGAAGGAAACATTGAATTGGAGACTGGTCTCACCACGTGGCTCCCTGATATCCTGTTCACCTCCAGCAGTACCAATTCCTTTACATACTCACTGAGAGTGGAGGTCGTTTTATGCGAGCAGGAGGACGACCTTGAAGACGTGACGGCATCGTTACACAACGATTTCACGGGGCCAGAAACGGTGGAAGCCATTGCAGTGCTGGAGTATGGCAGAAATGCATGGGGAAGCGATTACGATGCTGTTGCATGTATGAGCACTCATTTATTCTCAAAGAGAAATGCATGCAGCCTGCTCGTTGAAGGATGCTTGATGCAGGACACCCCAAATAATTTAGAATGGTTGCAGAGCATTTTCCTGGGACAATATGTGGCCTAGGGGTGCTGTGCCCATGAACATATAGAAAGGAAACTTATTATATAGGCAACAAGAATCCGCGCCACACGTGTGCAACATTGAGCGCTCCAAGGTGAGTGTCTGGTGAAATTGATTGTTCTCTTTGTTTTGTTAGTTCTGTCTCTAGTTGTAATTATTTCTGTCTCTAGTGATACCTCTTGTTTTAATGAGTGACCAATTACTGCTGTGCAGTCAAAACGGGAATACATCTGTTGCGTTGACATTGGCGCAGTAGCCGTCTCCACACTACATGTGAGGCAGGACGGCATGCACAACGAGCGACCGCAATCGACTCAGCTGCATGTGAATTTGACATCGATACGTCTTACGGAGCTACTGCATGCACATCACGTGCAGCGCCTTGCAGAGTGTCGACTTCTTGCTTGGCTGATTTCTTAAATAACTTAGATTTACATGTGCTCTAAGCCACACACACAGTCACACTCCATTTAATGGCGAAGTTATGACGACAATCCGCAATACCGATATCATCTCCCCACAGGGAGCTTCGTTAATGCTGTTTGCATCGCAAACAACAAATCGCTGGGTAAATGTGCCGCTTGTGGCACTTTGGTTTGCGGAAATTATAGCAGCAACCCATTTGGAAAGAAGAATGTCGTTGTGCACCGTAAATAGCCTGTATGAGCATACCCATCACTAGTAGAGAAAAGCACGCTTGCGATGCCATTTTGACACAAATTGATGCCATCATAGCCACTTTTTTGCCATCGCAGTCACTGTGATGGCATCATTTTGCGTCAAAATGGCATCGCAGATGGCATCGCAAACATGCCGTTTTCTACCAGTGCATTGGCACTTGAGGAAATGCACGACCCTGAAATGGTCTCCGTTGCGATCGCACATTGAATCGAAGTGCCTATCTATGCAGATCGCCTCACCTCGCAGGCGTCATCAGCGCTTCCATTTCTCCCATTCTCAATATGTGCATTTCTGTATAATTCTTTATCTGCAAAAGCTCTGTTTGTACTTCTGCTCGAAGTTCTTCAAATTTTCCTTCCAGTTCACGCAGAGAACTTGAAAGAAATTCAAGCCTGTGAAAAATACACATGCAGGTCAGAGTTCAACTCTGGTGTATTTCTATCAGCTCTTCAAAACTGCACAGGCACCCTTTTGACGAGAGATAAACCAGGGGTGGGCGATTGCCAACCTGAATCATGAGAGATGCTGTCTGTTAGATAACAAGGGACATGCTTGGACTTTGCTTGGACTTTGCTTGGACATTGCTTGGACATTGCTTGGACTTTCATCAAAAAATTTACCATTGCAAGTTGCGCATCAATTGTCCATATGAAAGGACAGCATGCCAGAATGTCCTGAATATGGAAGAGAAAATAGTTAAAGCGTAGCACTATCCATCACCTGCTCACCCAGTTCTTTTCAGTAATTCTTTATGTTGAGATCAAAGTCTGTGTACTTATGTGAAACTTTTCTGCAAGCACGCTGTGAACTTCTACTCACATAAAAGTGTCGACTGTTGTCCAACGACACAACGCTTGAAATGTTTCATCAAATTTCATTGAGCATCCAGAAGGTGCTCATGCATTTAAAGGGCTTCTGTGGATGATGGATATACGCAGACATTCTGATGAAAGCGCATCGTTGGATCAGATATCAGACAAATCTGCTTTGAAAATCTGTGCTGGGATCCACTTTGGATGGCACAGTCCGTAGTGTACCCGTAGTGCTGATTCAACTCAACACTTATTCTTGGGACTGTGTTGTTCACGAGGCGCACCATCGAGCTCATCTTAATATGTCTCATATCTGTCTCTATGCAGTTCTTCAGCGCAGCTTTTGTAATTAATATTGTGCACAGTGTTCAAGCGCTTGTTGGAACAGACTCGAAAGCGCACACTGTGGGTATCAACGATGTTTCAGGTAGGCATTGGAATTTCCGACATTTGATGACGCGATAAGTTAGATCTGTCATTGCAATCATTCAAAGCACGAAAATTTAATTGATTTCATCTATCCTTAGATGTCAATGCCGTAATATAATCCACGAATAAGTACACTATTTCGCCTCAACTGTCATGTTGATTATCTCCGGAAGCAATTTGGTGTGAGCAAAATATTTATACCTGTGTTTCTGTTGATTGTATTGCTGAGGTATTGCACCAGATTCGAATTTGGGAGGGTGGGCGCAGACGAAATTACAATTCATCAACTCCATTGTTGTTTTCATATGCCACGTACTTCCATGTTGCTCGATGGAAACTGTCTCCCACTCTGCACTCGTACAATGCGCAAACAATGAACACTTGCCACGTTGCACCGAAAGAGAGCGCAATAAGGCAGACGACTGAGTAATTCGAATTACGCCACGGCCGTCTAATGCGGTCGACGATCGAAAGTGTGATGCACTTAGTTAAGTGAATTTAATTAATTACTATTATTTAATAGTAGGGAGATGAAAAATGGCACAGGGTGGAAGTAAGCATTGTTGAATTGAGGAGTTTCCACGTTCTTTGAGGCAGGAGGTTCTGGTTTATGATGTGATATGGCACTTTTGAAAACCAATTCTGCACTGAAGGTGCTTTCCCACCTTGTACCATCCTCACCCCCAAGTAGTTTCCGGACTCCAACATTTCTGCCTAGCTTCGCACACCAAAGCAGCAGTGCGACGACAAGGATCGATTCAACTGTCTGCAAACGAAGAAAAGGCTTCCTTTCACCGGTTTGTCTGCTCACGGGCCATGTAGAAGACAAACGTAAATATTCTTCGAAGTCTATTGAACCAGGGAGAACAAATTATCATGAAACTGCTACATGACGCGCATTTGCGAATCAGCAATGTATTATGTCTGCATTAATAAATCTGGTGGCAAAAGAAGCACAATGGAAGCACCTCAAAAGTTATAGCACGTACAACATGGAAAAAGACAAAATTGTTGTCGCTACAGCAGCACTGTATGCTTGTCCTTTTCATTCAAGAAGTATTGCAGTGCAGTTGCTACTAGGCCACATGATTTACCTTGATAATATGATGGCTGTGGATTCCGCCCAAGAGACGATGCCAAAAATTTTGGTTTCATACAAATATCCTGCGCGTGGGTCATTCAGTATGATAGGGACAACGACGATGAGGATCCCATGAATTACTTTGCGTGAGTTGATTTGGCAGTGCAAGCAATCAGGGATCGCGGTAAACTAGTCACTCCATAAGTGCCTCTACTGGTTGATTGCTCTCATTGCTCTCACTGCATGTATGATAGGATGAATGATGCAGCAACCTGGATCAGCATGTAGGCACTTATCAAGACCACAAAGTCCACCACGGTTTTCATTGGCGTCCAGCTGCTCCTGGCTTAATTTATGAAGGTCATCGAGTCTCGCCTCATTCAATCCGCCACCAGAACCAAACGCCTCCAACGCGCATTGTGGAGCTCAACATTGTGGGAATTAAGTGGGAAAACATTTGCCACTTCAGCTATCCACTCTCCATAATGGATCACGTTCAGTTCTAGGATACCCACCTTTTGGATCTTGACCATTCCAAACCAACAACGCTGCACGCGTGTTATCTCCTCGTTGGGTGAATGCGGTGCACAGCTTTCACTCTCAGGAGCATTGTCCGAACCTCTCAATTCAGCGCTGGTTGTTATGCTCTAAGCGATACAGACAAATTTAATCAGTCTGACTGAATTTGCCACTGTATTGTCCTCTCAGGATGTGCCACGCACCATTGCAGCAGTTGATCTCGTTAGTGTGCTGATGTCCTAACTGCTTGGTCCAATCCTCATACAGATTAACTGGATGCAAGTGGCGCATTCTTTCTTTGGTGCCCAACGGAGACAGCGCATTAGGGGTGATAAATTGACGCAATTCATGATTTTATAACCCCAACATCCAGGCGCAGCCAACCTGTATGGTCCTGCCACCAGACGTCGACCTTCCTTTGGTTGCGTCCCCGTGTGCAGAAAAGTATCCAGACCAGGTTTCTCGAGCCATGCGCACAGCTGGACAGGCGAGGTTTGGAAACACACAAACAGGCCCTTAATGAAAATTACCTGAGTGATGAAGAACATGACATTTCCTGTAAGATAACATCGCAGCATGGTGCAACCCGCCCTGTGCTCGATCCAACCATATATTTGAATAGTGTGTTAATGTAAATCCCAGAATAATGAGCCAGAAAATGATGGAAACGCGTTGATCTGAGTTGTAGTTGAATGGCTTGCACGTCAGGCCATGTTGCATAGCCACAGCCTGCCGCCTCCCTTGCCTTTTGTCGTTCGGCTTCGCCGATGAATTCCTGCCACAAGATGGGACCATTGCTCGGCAGAGAGCGAACTATCGCCACAACACCTGGATGAAAGTATTCCCAATAAGTCATGCAAAGGAATCGAAGGGGGTTCCTCCAGGTCACGAGCCCGTCTCACGTTGTGGCGAGGATGCTCTGGGTGGCGCTTCCTGACAAAGAGTCTCCGGCATTTGGCCTTCCCCCGCATTCGCTTCGAGTGAGGATATCGCCACAGATGCGTCATTCCCATTGACAACGCCATCAGGAGCAGCGGGGGGCGTGGCGGGACGGCGGAGGGCATCGCCCCTGCGGGCGCGCTTCCTCGGCGCCATGAGATTCGCAACTCCCCTGGGCGACGCTGACGGGCTCGAAACTGCCTGCAGAAGGAAGCGCCCCGGCAAGGGTAATCCGCGTGACAATTGCTGAATGCGGAACATCCGCGATCCGCGAGCACGGATACGCCGAGGTCGCCCAAATTGCGGCTCAACGATTGGCGCTTCTGAACAGTGCTGCTGCGCGCACATAATTGCCCGTCGATAGGGGGTGGGGGGGGCGGGGTTCGGTGGGTAGGTGGGTGGGTCGCAGGTGCGCCCCGTCCTCCTGATGGATATCAGACGTCCCAAAACCCATGGCTATCGCTCGGCGGCAGCCAGGAAACTGCCGCGGCTCTTGCACCGCGCTCCCGTGCAGGGTGCAGTTTGCAGGCTCCGATTGCTGTTTTTAGGATTAACACCCAAGAGCGGACCTCCTGAGGGCGCACGGGGCGTCTGCGAGCACTCCCCTACCGATGACCTCACTCCGACAGGGTTTTGCCTTCTTCACGTCCTCGCCTGTGCGCGTTGCGGCTTGGGAGCGTGTAGGGGTGGGTGCCGCCTGCAGAGCGCCAAAGCATGCGGGCAGCCGTATAGGAAGCTGTTGAGCGCGCGGCAAGGTGGATCCACCAACGGAATCTGGCAGCCGCGGTTCCCCGCCGCCGAGGTCCATTGCAACGGGCTCCACGGACGGCACCCGGCGTTCTTTGCGGCGCATGGCAATGGATTCCAAATCCCGGAGCTTCTCTTGAAATTACTGAACCGGCAGAAGTATGGAAATTTTCAATCGCTTACGGACAACCATCGCCTTTTTGTCTGACGGTGAATGGAATGCTTTGAAACAGCATGAACGTCAAGGCAATTCTCCTCTGGCTGATATTGCAGTTCGCGTTGAAAAACGCCCCATGTCCAACGCTCAAAACTTAAAACATTTCTATATTTGTTGGCTTCGAAAACTTTCTTGTTTGCTGTGACAATATAACTTGCGCTGTTTCTGAATGCACACGCGGCCAATCACCGGAGCGTATGACCGTCGGATCAAATCTCTTTCATGGGCCCAACGCTACCACCTGGCGCAACACCATCGCAATTATTGCGCCTCCATTCGCATCGGTAAAATGCGAATTTCGGTCTTCGTCAGTGAAGCGTTCGAAAAAAGTACTCGAAAGTCGATGACCGGCAACTTCGAAGGTATTCGACGAAAAAAGAAAACAGATAACAACATCGACAGCAGCGCTGCAAATGCTCTGGAGCGACGGTTATCGGTAATCCGGCCGTCCGGTCTGGCATGCTGGCCGCCCAGCCCCGGTATCTTTGAGCTGCTCCAGGAAAGAGAACCTTCACAACGTGCTGACATCTAGTGACAAAAAGCGGCAACGCCCTTGTGCAGATCGAGGAGCCGATGGGTTCTGAACCCCGCCGTTGCTGATGCCGATCGGCATCCGAGATCTTGACCAGACAATTTCTGAAATGTCCTATTTGGACCTCTCTGCTTCTATAGCTTCCACACGGGACATAGGTGAGTTGCTCTCATTAGGCGTTACCTGTCTTTGCTCCATTGAGGCTTATCCTGTTGCCCGCATTTGTACACAGCTCGTAGACAAATGCGATTGCGGCGTGTTGGGGCGCATAACACTGGTTGCAGGCCTCGAAAAGATTAGTTTCGTTTCCTCGCCGAATAATTGCAATCTCTGCGAAAGCTTGTGATGTTGCCTCAATGGCTGGGCCTTTCAAAAAATCACAATGAGGTTTTACTCCATTTGGTTAGGGAAGGAAATTGTGAGATTCTTAAATGGGTAAGGTGGAGATTCTCCCTCGTCCCTTGGAGATGGTGTTCATGGAGATCGCGTTCTGGACATTCCGCGCGACGAGCCATGCCAGAGAATGACTCAATGATGACACAGGACACGAATTGGATGCAGTATTGCAGATGCAAGAGTGGGAGCATGACGTGATGATTGTGATTTGAAAGCTGCTGAATAGGCGATGCTGGTGATCGAGCTTGAAGCGGCCTATAAAGGCACTAAACACATCCAGCCAGAATACATTGCGATGCAGATCTTCTCCAGGATACCCAATAACAATACCTGGGAGATGAGCTGCGCAATTTAATATGATGGTTTGGTGAAATTAGGAGATGAATATCACCGATTTTCCTCCATTCTCTCAATGAAAATCAAAAAGAAGTGAACCTGCAGCTTGCTGGAATCCATGCCAGTGCAGCGGTGTTTTCTTTTGCATGATTTCTGTCAGAGCGAAGGAACAATCAACGAGTGATTGCATGACGTATGGAGATGCGATAAAGTGAACATGGTGATCGTGTTATGGTGACATGCACATGGAGAAACGGGAAGGGAAATTAGATACTTAACTGGTACATTCATCATGTAAAGCATCTGGCTACGGCCTTGCTTCTCGTCCCTGGGGCAGCCGAGTGTGGACCGAGCGCGAACGGTCCGCCGCGAGAAATAGTGGCTTGCTGAAGGAAGCCTTGGGTTTGAAAATGGAGTGGATGTATGGAATATGACCCTTTGGATCGAAAACTGCATAACGCATTGAGAGCCGTTGGATTGATCAATGAATCTCAGGCCTCTGTGATCGCGAGATCGACGATTCAGGGCCACGGTTGATTCTCTGTCTGATACGCTACCAGTTGGGTGTGACAATATGTTTGATCATGTGGAACTGACCAGTTCCATGAGCCCCGATGAAGATCCGTGGGGTGCACAAGGCACTTCTCTTTGACAGGGTGGCCACTGACATATTTTGTGAAAGATTGTTTCTTGGAAACTGTCGATGATTGAATGAATAATATGGGATGTACCAATGTTGGCAGCTGGTTCTCATCAGCGCCATCATCAAAGGCCACCAGAGTAGGCCTTATCAAATGGTGGTGCCATAGGGCCACTGGGGATACACGTAATAACAATTACATGGAATCATGGCCAAGGGCCGTTATGAGGACCAAACTTGCGGTGTTGCAATGTGTGTGCCTTTTGGGTGTTCTGAAGCAGCCCTGTGTGAACATAATAAGTGACGGAGGTTTACTTTCTTCGAAATAAGGAAAGATGTTTTGTGTCCAGTAGTTTCCCAAGCACCACAGCCGGCAAATGTAGGTCCATACAGCCAAATCTTCACGCTTGTTAGTGGCTTGCTTCCCCTGCACTTCTGAACTTTCATGGTTTCCATGTGTTCCCTGTGTGTCATCAAGGATTTGTCGTTTTGTCCTCTCAAGGTGTCTGACAAATTTGGACGGAAACAGCGCCAGGTGCGACTCCTAACCTGTGAGGGATCATCCTGCACATTGTTGGGCGCGCCATTCAGCACGAGGCTGGTTCGTGCGAGGAAGACCTTTTGCGACCGTAATGTAACGCTGCATAAGGGCCGCGCAGCAGGAGCGACGCCTTCGCCACAGCCACACTTACCTTCACCGGGGCAGTGCCCACCAGAGATCCAAGGCTCCCATGACGTTGATTTCTGTGGAGGTGAGTCCACAGTGACGTCGTGTCAGGGGATGGGTGCACTGATCAAAGACCTTCGTGTGCGAGGCTGAGTGTAATGATCAATGCCACAGCCAGTGGTGACCCTTAACCTCCGCAAAACTGACCTTGCGGCAAATTGGAGAACTTTTTCCAGCGCTGTGAGTGCCTGCTGGCAATTCGATCAGGGGTGATTCAATGGTTGCCCCACCAGCAGGTAGGGCAGTGCGGCATACAGGTTGGCAGTGCATTCTGGAAGATAATGGACGCTTCTCTGGATGTGCTCGATCGGCCCACACAGCTCCAAGGCCTCCACAGCATTGCTGGTAGTTTGGGGAGGGATTGGGATTGGGCAAGGGGCTTCCTGCGTGAAGGCAGGCAGGGACAGCAGACAGCCAGATGCATTGTGGTGGACTCTGATCCAAGACAGGTGAATACGTACACACTCCACAGCCTGTACATGTACATCCGATGCCAAGTGTTGACACATTTCCTGCAGGGTAACAGGCACATGAAACAAGGCTAGAAAATAAATGATGAAGCTGTACTGTTCATTTGCCAGTGGCTCCTGATGCATCAAGAATGGTGAATCAAAAGCAGGCAGGCCAACAAGGATTCAACATCTGTGGATCTAGCTGTCTTGAGATTTTTGTTGATGCCCATTGGACGTGAGCAGCATTATGTGCATTGATCTCCATTTGTGTCACCTAGATCAATGTTTAGTGATTTGTTCCCCCCTAACTATTGAGTGCAGCAGCGGCAGCAATCGAACAGTTGAGTACAGATTTGTAAATTCAACAGCTCAGTTGTTGTCCAAGTTGCAGTTCTCTCCATCACTGCATACCTCAATGGAATGCCTCAAATGATGAGGATTCCTCTGCAAATCCTGAAAGTAAAGTGGCATTGGGTTGAATGGGCTGAATGGGTTGAATCGCTGTAGATGATGGTGCAGAGAGTTGTGTATACTTGAATGTGCACTATTAGTTTGTCAGGTGCCATCGCCAGACCAGCAATTGTGCTGTCAAGGCTTCATCACGTCGGCTTCTCGATGAGCCTTTTCGATGAGCCTTCTCGATGAGCATGGCATTCTTTTGCACAGGTTCTACACAGGCCTGCGATCTGCAGAAATTTTGCACCCACTGGGCATTCAGTCGTGGGTAAAGGATGTTCTGGCAAGAACTGGTGAGAATGTAGGCAAGCTGCACATCATATCTCCACTGTCGTGCCACTCGTTCTCCTTGTGGACTACATGGATGTCACCCATGGTGAGAATTGTAGGCAAGCTGCACATCATACCTCCACTGTCATGACACTCGTTGTCCTTTTGGACTACTTGGATGTCACCCAGGCACCCAGACACTCTCCGAGTGCAGCCTGATATGCTGCATGGCTGTGGCAGGGCACAGGGCTACCGCCATGCAAATGGGAACATGCTTTGGGAGGTGAAACCACAATCCAGGAGGTGCAGTCACAACACCCATAATGGGAACCATGAGAACAACCAAAAATGCTTCTGAGGAATGAGCCTAACCCTCCAGCAGCAAAATTGTGCCATTACAGCCATATACACAGGCAGTATCCTCCCATGCCCATACTGGCTGTACCATGAAATCGAGACATGACAGAGAGCAAATGAGCACTGTGTCTAAATGCAGTGTGTGATTGTGCCACGTGCCTGTGAGCACACGCAGTGAACTGGGAATTTTGCTGTTTGTCAACAACAGCTGATGTCATGCAGAATTCAGAAGGCAGCAAAATGGACAGCTGATATGAGAGACCCTACATCTGCCTGTGATGGGGAGCTTCTTGAAATCTTTGTTGAAGGTGACAATGCATTGAAGATGAAGACTCTGGGAGCCATGGGTTGCATCATCTCTACAAGAGATATTTACATATGTGTACAAACTAACAATCTGGGTATGAGCAAAGTATGCGATTGGGATTGGTGCCCGACATTGTCAATCTGGTGAAAGGGCATTGCTTTCTCATTTGACAATGCAATCAAAAGAAGATTCTGTTGATATTCAAATATTGCCCAAAAGAAGTGGGTGCCAGGACAGCAGTAATTACTGCATTCAAACTCTGTATTGGCTACTGTAGACTTCTAATTGATTCCTTAAAACAATTTTGCAAGATTGCCTGCCGTTTGGCAACTCTAACAGCAATAGCTTGGGCGCAACTGCACATAAACATTAAATCCACAAATTATAAAAAGAGGTCGCTTGAGCTCAAGAACACATCGGTGGTATTGTGCTGTACAATGGTTCCAACACCAGTGTGCAAGGAGGTTGCATGAAGTGGGATGGCCAGAAGTGGATTTTTGCTGCTGATGGTTGTGTGATTTCTTTGGCCAGCATTGCGAAAAGAAACTGAGGCGTGCGATGGAATTCCTGAGTTCCTGATTTGGCACAGCATGGGGGGCGGCGCAGGGGGCGGAGTTGGGTCTGGCGTTCTTGAAGCAATTCGCTGCGATTTCCCACGCAACTACATAGGGACGATTTCTATTGCACCTTTGCTTGCTGGTGCGATGGGCTACAGCAAATTCTTTTATGCCAAGCAACCCTTGCTGGATGAAATTCCGTTCTACGTACTGTGCCACTGTGTCTATGCCATCGTCTTCTGTGCTACCGTAATGCGCATTGCAGCTATCCCACCAAAAGGCGCCCTTGCACTTGTGCCTGTGAAGGAAGATTTTCACTCAGATACCTATTAATTTCTTGTTTGTGCTGTTCACTCCTGATGTCGTGCACAGTTATGCCAGGGTCTCACTCCCAAGAACACCACAGTTAAATAAGCATTCCTTTGCGCCTGCAAGGAACATTTGACAACGGAGATTGAACAGCATGCAGTGGCTATTTGGCGATGGGCTCAGCTACATGCCAGTCGCGACGACTGGGGCAAGTGCATTTGCGAATTTGTTTTGATGTGCTTTGTGGCGCTTGCTTCACGTTGGCTGGGCTAGGCAAAAGTCTTCAATGGCAACAAAATTTGTGATGGGCTGTGCCAATGGAAAATGCGTCATGGACGTTGCTGGCAGTGATTTATCTCATTGAAATATCCATCTGGGACAATCGCGTGGGATACCAGTGAGGCGTGACTTGCGCCTTGTGATAGTGTCTCACTGCCATGTGCTGTTTTCATAGGGTTTGAGCCAATGCAAAAGGTGAACACTGCCATGACAATGTCCTGGCTCCAGACCTACGCCGATGTCGTCATGCTCTTCCAGACAGATCGAGTTCTAGCCTCCCTTGCCAGCAAACAGAATTGCGGAGCCAGAGGACTACATGATGACAGTGTTAATTGGGAAATCTCCAAACATGTGGCATCAGTGCTCTGGCCTTTGGATGAAGTGGAAGGGCTTCGGGGAAAAACAGTAATGTCCGATGTGGTGAGAAGTGTGTGCATGTTGACAGGCTGAAGCTGCTCCTTCCCAAGCCAGTTTTGTGCTTGCTTTCAGAATTGCATTGTCCCATTGCAACAAGTTTTGCACTGCAAACAGAGGCAGAACGACGTTTACTGCTGACTGAAAGGGCTTGCTTCACTTCTTGCTTTGCCAAACAGGTAGTGGCGTGGATGGGAAGAGTCTCGATTGCTGTTTAGTCCAAATGGTATGTGAAGAGTCGTCTTCACCAGATTATTGTATACTCCTACTGATAAGAAATTTGGCATGTGCAAGTGAAGGAATTGCACAAACAAGCGCAACATACACTGGAATGCACTATGGTCCATTGTCGAACAGAAAAGCAGGTTATGAAATTCTGCTCAAGTGTCAGTTGTCAAAGTGCTACCTTGCGTGAGTCGTCATCTGAAAGCATCCGTCATAAATAAGATTGCACATTCAGCAAATGTGCCAGAAAAAGTGTAGTCAACACAAGTTGTAGACTCCCTGGCAGCAACATGGCTTGCATTTTGCACAGATCCTGTGAAACTGCTGCAGACACGACTGAATCCCAGTGCGGGAATGCAGGTCATGCATGTCTGCCCTGACCCTGGGATGAAGTTCACTGAAGTTAGCATGGCGTCCTCCTCGCAACGCCTTGCAACAGATTCCCCAAGAGGCTGGCGGAAGCTCATCAGGGAAGCTTTCCATGGTCTTGGAAAAGGCAGCCACCAGGGCACACAGCAGCCAATCGTCAGCTCGGCCTCGATGGTGATCGGTCGGGCCAGTGCCCAGAGGCCTCCTTCCATTCAACAGGTTTGGGGAGTTTCGCGACGCAGCATTCTCTACCTCCTGCTTCAACTCAAGCAGCCTGTACTCTCGAATGAGAGTTCTGAGCAGGTTGTGTCTTTCATGGTGCTAGGGAGCAAAAGCATTCCAACAATGTGCCAAATGCCTGTCTCACAGTGGGCTGCGCAGGCCGCCACAAGCGGCTGAGGCTGTGTCTGTCGGAGCATTAGGGAGGGACAAATCAAGGCAGTTGGGCTTGCTCCTGAGGGATGAATGTCAAAGGCATTGCCAAGGGGCAGCATCATTGTTTGGGGCCACGGAGAGCGTGCAGGTATCGTTGTTGGTAACGTTGTAGTGCAGTCTGCTGCCTTGAGATTCGTGGCCTTGAACATATTGTCCACTGCCAAAGCATTCAATTCGGAGGCCATCATTACCACCAGCTCAAGGTTGATACCCATCAGTCATGGTGGGTGCACATGCATCCGCACTGTCTTGTGTGTGGATGTCGACGAACACTATCCAAATATCGTACGAAACTAAACCCAACAGCATATCTTCGTTGGAAGCACTCGGTCAAATAGATTTTGGTAGGCCAAGGCATTGCCTCTCAAACATGGCGTTGAAGTGAGCTTGTCTCGTTTTATCCATGGCTTTATTCAGTTTCTTGTCTTGCCAGACTCGGGGATCCACGTTGGCTCCATCCTTTGGCGAGCATGCGGTGCGAGGGATAAATCCCACAAAAGGTGTGGCAGCACATTCATTGGGGGTCCAGATGCCGTTTCCATGTCTGCAACACGGGAAGGAACGATTGCGCCTGGATCCTGCTGACTCGTTCAACATTTTCGTGTTCCTGCCTGAGGGGCCCAATACATTTATGATGCAGAGCGGCAGAAGCCACGTGAATCGCCCTGCAGTGTTGCCATCGTGTCCAACAGATTCAATGTCGCAGACTTCTCAATGAGCCTTTCGAAAGCCGTGACACGCCTTTGCGACACTGGTGCCTACATGCATTGGTAAGTTCCCGAAGTGGAGATCGACTTTATTATTTTGCGGTACTGCACTGATGCCGCACGTTCCAGACACTGTGCCTCCTTCCAAGCATTAGCATGCGCATCCATATGCGCCGGGATAAGGGGGCATTGCAAAATTGGGAAACGACATGATTAAAGTTGCAACTCTCATAAGGTAGCGAACTTGAACCACCAACGTGAATGCAGTTTGCCGGCACGGCACAAGCCTGCCAGTTCCCAAGAAGCAGGATACTTTGCTAAGTGCTGCATATAATGTTCAACGATTTGCTTGCAAACGCATCGCAAGTATGTACCAGTCCTTGCCACCAACGTGAATGCAGTTTGCCGGCACGGCACAAGCCGTATTCATCATGACGCTTTTGCACGCCGTTCGCAGGTACGAAATTAACGGTTGCAGCAGGGATGCGGTGCGGGAGGCGTGTCGCAGTCTGGAGGATTTGGCAGATCGTTATGGTCAATCTCATTTTCTATCTCACACCAATGGCGCTCCTACCCGATAACATCATTTTGGCTCGATCCGGGACCCTGCAATGTATTTTACAAGGACAAAAGCAAGAGCTGGCCTAGCCTCATTTGTCAATGGCATGCGGATGCCTTTCGATCATCTGTGTCGCCAAGCTCAGCATTGAAACGAGGGGATTCTGCAAACCAGACTACTTCGTATGTGAGTTTCAATCCACAGGATCGTGGATCACAGGATCCACAGCAACTATTTGCTGTGAGGAAATACAGCGTAAGTTTCACCACTGCCACACTGGGTATGAAACTAAGAGTATCAATGCTGGATGGGGATATGAACACAAAGATATGGTGTATCCAGCTGTGCATGATGCCAGCTGCATCGTAGTGGCGAACATGAATCCCAATGTACTAATCCCAATGTTATGCAGCCCAGTGTGGTGCACATAACCGAAAAGAGTAACTACACTGGACCTCCAGGTGCGTGTTCCAAAGAGAACCCTGTGATAGGGTGCAGTGGAAAGGGCTGTTTTCTGGCTGGAACCTGTTGTGGTATGTGTTCTAGCCGCGTTGCAAGGTTCGAAATACAGAGGTGCATCCACGTAAGCAATGTGCAGCGCTTCGTGCTCCAAAAAAGTCAAGGAGAAGATCCTCGAAGAGTGAAAATGAGCAAGTGGTGCCGCTAGCGGATCTGTAACCTGCACTCCACAAGAGACAGACATCAGAGCATGCCCTTCATTTACATTGCCACGGGGTTAGGGTGCGTAACAGCAGCACGAAATGTCATGATATTTAGATACCAGAGGCTGCTTGTTGTAAGATAATGTCAAAGGATTGAAACGTTATAGGTATATTGCAGCAAAACTAGAGCGCTTCTGAAGGTGCTAAAACTGTTGCCGATCACAAGGCTTATCAAACCTGCACATGCACAGCCTGTGGGAAAGTTAGTTTTGCATTTGTAAAGTCCATGTTTTTTTAAAGACATGTGCCAGTTGGCGCGCTTATGCAGGGGTTGAATTGCGTGGTCCTTTACATGGCAGAGTTGCGTGAGAGAAATTGCGGCAGCTCCTTAGTAAATTTCCATCCAGTTGTCGCTGCCCGCACCTATCCCCTGGATATATGAGGTTTGGATCGTTGATGATCTCCTTGTTTTGGCTGTAGACGTCGGCCAGATGGCGATGATATAATGCTCCAATAGAACACAACGTGTCCCCCTCCGCCACCTGCGGTCACCTTCAAGTTATGAAAAAATAACCGTCCTTTGCATGGTGGTGCCAGTGGAAATTCCAAATCAATTCACCCTTGAAGTTTGTTTTTGTCAAGAATGTGAACCATGCCCTTTGACTGCCCTGGTTCGCACTGTCACTAGCAATTTTTCGGATGTGCAATGCCCACAATGGCAATTATAGGTGTTGTTGCTAGCCTTTGCCTGGGAACATCCATTTCCAAAACAAAAACCCACCTCATAAAATATTGGTCGGTTTGCCCACAAGTAGCTGATCGCCCCAACGATGGCGCTAGCCAACATGGCGAAAGGCAAATTGCGGCGATTGAATTGCAGAACACGTTGTCGCCATCCTGACCGCCGTTCTCTTGGTGGCTCTGTAGTAACTTGGCTCGACTTCGCGTTGTGGGACTGACTGGTCTATTCCCATGAAAAAAATGCAAGTATCACAGCCCGCACAATGGCGTGTAACTTTAATTCCACATAGTGCCAATCTTGTGCTGAACTAGGGCTTATTTGATGATACCCATGAGTTTATTTGGGAACAAATTATGTGAGCTACCCAACATATTCATGCGAGTACTTGGCATTGGCAGACGCTGCTCATCAAAAAAATAATGCCCAATTGCATGTGGTCAAACGATGAAGAAGAATGGGAACTACCGAATCATTAGATTGAATTTGGGTGTTGAGCTTGAATGGATGCCGCTTTTGTAAGACATCTAGCAATGGTCGAATGTTAAGATACACTCATATTGCAGGATATTCTTAACATGATCAGACCGTTTAATGGTCGCGAGAATGTCGCGTCTAGCAAACGATATGAAAGAGCGCATCGTGGCTCTAGAGGCAACAGCTTCTCGTGCACCGAGGTGCTGGAACACCAGCCGCTTTGTGGTGAACGCCCAAGATTTCACACCAATGATGGTGAGTCCCACCATGTGAGAGGCATGTTGCCCAGTGCTGCGAGCGTTTTTTTCTGAACAACTGCCCATCCACGACTTGGGTATGCCTGAAAATAGCCCCCCCACAGCTTATTTAGTTTGACTCAATGGTGCTTGGCCCACCATAACGCCTCATATCAAGCGGCTGGCCACCAACATTTAGCAAGGCCTCAAAGGCCTTTTATCTCAAAGAACTAAGACATGTTGCTCATGGGTTTACAGTTTTCAGTCCCCAAGTCTGCTCATGCATCCTTGCGTTAAGCTAAGACTGAAATGAAATAAACTGATATGAACTTCCCTAACCACTCGAACAACACCAGAACTGCACCGGCTGTGACAAAACCAAGGCACGTGCGACGGGATCAATAGTCACAATATGCAACGTGGGTGTTAGTTGTTTGGACCCAAATACTTCCTCCATCCCAAATTAAATTGCAGTTATGATCCATGGCCCTAGAAAACTCATTGAAACATCTCAATTTTTACAAAATGTGTCACAATTTTGTAATTTATTCCTAGTTTGTTGTGTAAAGTTTTTGAGTTAATCGGTTAAGTAGTCATTCTACAATACCATATTGAATAGACACCACTTTTCCGAAAATACCATAGTTTTTCAAGGTGGTGCCGAAACCGCCGTTTTGGGGCCTTGGGACCATGCCACCTTGTGGTGAGCCCCACCGTGCGAAGCGACAAGAGTTGGAGACATGCTTCAGATTGCATGTTGGAGTGGAGATGCAAACGCAAAGGGCAGGTCGCTAGCACATTCTGAAAGGCGTGATCAACGATCTCATATGTACATTCGAAACTTCATGCCAAACAATTAAGATCATCGGTAAGAAGTTCCAAAATGCAATCGACAATCCTGCGGGAATGAATTTGTCCTACGGACAGCAAAGGAGTTGCGGCTGTCCCAAGATATTGCGGGAGCAAGTTGCAACGAGAACTAAAAAGATGGCGTTGGATAGCCGGCGCACAATTTGCGGAATGGCAACGGATGCCTAGATATCGAAATCAAGTTTGCATCAAGTTTTTAGGGAAATGGGCTCCAAGAATGCTCAAGATGGATCAAGCCACTTTTGAACCATAAGCAAAGAGTTGCTCGAGTGCACTAGGTGGTCAACCACGTATCAGGGGACCATCAAAACGCCCATTTTTACGATATGTGGCTTGTGGTTCACATTGACAAAAGTGGTTTTACACAATGAAGGATGGCTCAATGGTATGGTTGCTGCTAATAGAAGACCGGATCCCACGTTCTCGAATCCAAAACAAGGATTTATTCCAAAGGTGCTGTTCATCGCAGCTCTGGCTCACCCACAAAAGCATTCAGATGGGATTTGGTTCAATGGGCTTGTGGGCATCTGGCCCTTTGTGAAGATGGTCCCCTGTCCAATGCTCATTAAAAAATGGGCCCCGTGGATCTCTGGAAATGAAGCATATCAGTCTTACTTGGGAGGTGTTTGCTCGCATATGGTCAACAAGGTTTTACCAATAATAAGCCAGCAGTTTTGGCATGCCAAGACCTCAATGGTGATCCAATGAGACCCCCCTCCCCCCCAAAGCGGCAAGCCTCAATACAACCTGACCTTGAGGCCACTAAGTACTCCGAAGTGCTTAAGATCAAGATCGTTCAACAGCCAAGCAATAGCCCAAACTTGAA